AATCTTCAGCAAAGCAGCTCTAAGCTGATATAGAGGAACAGGTGCGTGCACGTGAGGAAATTCTCCACATCCAACTTGACTCTCTGTGGGATTAAACATGACAATAGGTCTGATCTGATTTCATCATCATTTAAAAAAAATCATCTATTATTTTTCACTTTATGTTTCTGTGTGGGAGCAAACTGTTGAAATCCTTACTTAATGTATACTAAGCTGATCTTCTGTATATTAAGATAATCGAAAATGAATCTTGACGTGAATGGAAGGGGAGAGGGAGTGGGAAAGGGGAGGGTTGTGGGTGGGAGGGACGGTATGGGGGGGAAGCCATTGTAATCCATAAATCCTACTTTGGAAATTTATATTCATTAAATAAAAGTTAAAAAAAATTAAAAAAAAGTCTCATGGGAAATCTTTCATTATTTGCCAAATATCAGTGCAAAAACATCTATTTATATGATCTCAAAGGATTGTGTATAATAAAGTAGAACTTTTCTCAAGTTTTCTTGACAGTCTCACATAAAAACTGTTTAATAAATTTAAACAGTTTCAATCTCCTTGTAAATTTTAGAAATCGTTAGGCATTCTACACTGTTTCTAGTTAATAATTCCACATACTAAAACTACTGGGGTATTTCCTATAAAGCTACGCAGAAAGGGCAGGTCTTGGAACTGAGACCCTGTTTCCTGCATGGGAAGAAAGGAGAATTGAGGTCCCCATAGATGACAGCTCGTCACGTGCATGAACCCCATACACACAGCACTGCTGCTGCCTAGTGACCACTCTGTCCACACTGCACAATCGGGGAGATGCGGGGCTGCTGCCACTCAGCTCTCCACAGATGGCTCTGGGGCTGAGACTTCTCTGCTAACAGGGAAGGGGCAGGGTGCCTGGGTCCAGGGTGCCAGTCCAGGCCCCACCCACTAGACCACAAGGAACCCAGGGAAGTGCTGTGCTGACAGCAAGATGGGGCCCAAGGTTCCAGAGACGCCCTCTGGGAGCCAGCGTCCTGCCAGCAGGTACCACCAGCTTCCCCTTCCCCGACTCTGGACACCTGGCCACACACACTCACCATTCCCAGGTATCCAAGATGGGCTGTGTTGTGGTGGAAAAGGTCAGAGAACAGCGGATGCTGCACTACCTCCACCCAGCAGCAGAGACCCCTCCTTGGACCTCTCTCCTCCAGGAATTTGGAACTCTGTGGTGTCACAATCCAGTGTGATTATGTGGCAGTGATGTCACCGCGCCTGATTGGACAGCTCGCATAGCCATCAGCATGGACGACACAGAAGTCACAACAAATCAGCATCTTTACAGCAGGGACGGGAACTCCAGGCTGCTCCAGATGGTAGAGAGGTGAGGCCTGGGTTCAGGGGCCAAGGGCCTCCCCCAGGGCTGCACCCTTTCACCAGCGGGATCCTGCCACCTGTTGGGACCCTCCTGCCTCCCCACAGGTTTTCCTGGGAGAATCCCACCTGGAGGCTGCAGCCACCTGCTTAGGTGAGTTAGAGAGTATTGGCTGTTTATTGGCTTTGGCCTTTTTCATTTCCTTCATATTGCTGACTCATTTCTATGTGGGGTTTTTAATATTAAGAATGTTTACAGATATTACAAATTCAATTTTTTTCATCTCTCCTAGATATTTGTTTTCTAGTCTGCCTCTTGTACTTTAATATTATTTTCTGTTTGTTTCTTGCTGGTACTTAGTAATTAGTGGATTTTATGCATTAATCTTTCCAGTAATATTGTTAAATTTATTTATCAGTTGTATTTATTATTAGATTTTATGAATTATCTAGGTATTTATGTGTCATCCTATGTAATTCTTCGTGTGTGTGTGTGTGTGTGTATATATATATATATATACACAATTTCATTCCTTATAAATTGAACTTTACACATTTTTTTGCCATTTATTTCCCTGACTACCCTTACAATAGAAAGTTGAAAAGAAATAGTGGTGGCATCTGGGTGTAGGCTTACATCCAGGGAAAAGCTTTCAAAGGTTCTGTATTAGTTGTATTAGTTGTGTTGGTTTTTGTAGGTTTCTTTTAATCTTGATCAGATTGAAGAAGTTACTTTCTGCTTGTTTTCACTGATATAAGGTTTTTTCATTAGATGCTGAGTTTTATTAAATGTTTTCAACATGTAATCTAAACAATCAGTGATTGTCTTTTTGCATTTTTCGCCTATTTGGATTGCTTTTTTGGGAACCTTGACAACTCTTGTATTTTTTATTATCTCTTGCTTGTAATTGACCTATTATGTTTTCCTATATCATTTCATTTATTATAATACTTTGCGGTCCCAGTGAGTCATGGGCTGGCTGTTTGTTGTTTGCTGGGACCTGGAGGCCAGGGCATGATCTCAGCCTGGCTCCCTGCAACCCCTTGCGGTCAGGACAGGGCGGGCTCCCCAGGTATGCATGGCCTCGCCGGGCAGTGCCTGCGACTGGGACGTGCCTTGTGATGGCCTCATCTGCCACCTTCAGGCATGGGCTCCAAGGCCTAGATACGTGTGGTGCTGCCCACGGTGGAGCAGATCCTGGAGGACGTGCATGGGGTGCCGGCCCAAGACCCTGTCTTCACCGCGCTGGCCCTGTAAGGTAGAGGGCTCATGCTGGGGCAGGGCAGGGGGCGGCCCCGAAGCCCCAGGAGTGGCAGCTGGGGCAGGACCTTGTGTCCTGTACTGCATGGGCCTGGGGCCAAGGAAGGCGTTGGCCCCATTAATGGAGGGGGAGAGCGCCATGGGATAGAGGCCGTGGTGGGGGTCGCAGGGGTCTCCGGCCTGGCCCAGGGTGGAGCTGAGAAGTGGGGTGTGCAAGGACAGGGTTCCGCATGCAGGATCGGGGTGGACTCTGTGGTCTCTGCGAGGTGCTCTGCTGTACTGAGCCCTGGGCCCAGATGGACCCAGAACACCGCCCCCGCCCTCCCTCGATGCCACCTTGGGCTGAGGCCTGAGGATTCTATGGGAACCTACTGTTCTTTCTCTTTCTTTCTTTTTTGAAAAAGACATTAGAGACGGAGATCTGTCCACTGGTTCGCTTCCCAAATGGCTGCAGTGGCAGGAGCTGGGCTGACCAGGAGCCAGGAGCTCCATCCGGGTCTCCCACATGGGAGCAGGGTCCCAAGCACTTGAGGCATCCTCCACTGCTCTCCTAGGACACAGCAAAGAGCTGGATCAGAAGTGGAGAAGCTGGGACTCGAACTGGCGCCCCTATGGGATGTCAGAGTCAAAGGCGGCAGCTTTACTGCTACGCCACAGCACCAGCCCTGGGAGCCTACTTTTTAGAATTGTTATACTGGGGCCCTGCGCCCACGTGGGACCCATAGGGAGCACCTGGCTCTGGCATGGCCCAGCCCTGGCTGATGTGGCCATTTGGGGAGTGAACCACAGATAGAGGATCTCTCCCTCTCTCTATTTCTCTCTCTCTCTCTCCCTCCTTCCCTCTCTCCCTGTTCCCTTCCTCCCTCCCTGTTCCCTCCATCTCTCTCTCTCTCCCCTCCTGTCAGATGAATTAAACAACCCCAGCTGTACTACCACATTCTGTGCCGGGCTCTGTGTGACCTGGGGCTGCTTGGCATTGCTGTGGGCCGCTGCCCTCAGCCGGAGGTTCTTTTCAGTCGCCGGCTGCCTTTTGTCTGTCACGAGTCACCTGTAGCGAGCAGACGTCCAGCCGGGGTTCGAGGCCAGGTTCCTGGCCATGGCCAGGAAGGGGGGGTAATGAACCATGTGTGTGTTTGTGTGGGGTCCTGGACCAGGTTTGTTGGGGGGGTGGACAGTGGTGGGGGGTTGTGGACCACGTGTATGTCGGGGGGGGTCATGGACCGCATGTGTCGGCACACTGCCATCCCATTGCTGCCTCTGAGGGTCGTGGCCATGCTCGCCCACAATCCCCCATGCAGTCTCACTTGGGGTGCATCTGCCTAGGAAGTGCCACAGCCCATTTGGCAAAAGCAAATTGCATTCCACCACCTTGCGCTGACCTGGGCCCCTTCTCCCAGGCCTGGGTGCCAGCTGGGCTGTGTGGGCACCCAGGACCAGCTCCCGCCCCCCAGTGGGTCCTGTCCATCTCTCGGGGTCACCCTTGGCCCTGGCCCTCCTCCAAAATGGGGCTCTGAGAGGGGCCAGGGGAAGCCACCACCCATGATCTGGGCCACTCGATGTCTGATCCAGCTCCCTACTGGTGGCCAGGGAAGGCAGCAGCTGGTGGCTCCAGTGTGGGCCCTGTTGTTTCCATTATTGCCGAGGACAGCATTTCTAGAACAATGTGCGAGACAGGTGCAGTGGGGACCTGGGAACCCAGAGCTCCATGTGGGTGGCAGGGACCCCACCTTTGAGACTGGCATGCTCCGGCTGGTGTGTGAGGCACCAGGTCATGCATGAGCCCCCGAGAGTGACTGTGGCCACCGGGGTGGGCTTATGCTGTGCAGGGGTGGGGTCTGCAGGTGCCCGCATCCCCAGGCTGGGCTCCTTCCTGCTGGGTGGCTCTGGAATTGGGGGTTCCCTTGTGACTGATGCTCCCTCATGCTGTCCCAAGCCCCCTAGGAGACCCCAGGAAGAGTGAGGACCCTGAGGCCCAGCAGAAGCAGCTGTACCAGCAGAGCCGGGCCTACAAGGCCGCCAACGTGCTTGATGCTGCCCTGCGCCTCACCACTGCCTCCTCCAGCTGACCTGGGCCCTTCCCCACCCCGGGCCCCGGCTGGACCCTGTGTGGGCACCTGGGACCACCTCCCCCCAGCAGACTCTGCCCATCTCACGGGGCTACTCTGTGCTCCCTTACCCAGCACAACACTCCCTGGCCTAGAGGGGGAGCCGCCTGCCCTGGTAGGGCCCCACGGGCCTCATGATGCCACTCCTGGGCAGGAGCCACCCTTTCATCACCGAGGGAAAGGCTGATGCAGTGGACAGCGGAGCGGCCACAGGCCAGGCCCTGGACACCCTCCCTGGGACTGAGGTCCTGCCAGCCGGCCCTGGATCCCTGCATCCTGGGGGGCAGGGCTGAGCCCCAGGGCCACAGGAGTTTCTCTTCTGCTGCCTGAGCCTCAGAGACCCCAGCCTCAGCTGCTCAGCCAGGGCAGAGACCCCCCAGCCCACCGGGTACTGTTGGGCCTGACAGAGCCAGACAGAGACACCCTAGTGGGACAGTCTTCCCTGGCCAGTGGGGTTCCCTGGCCTCCCTGCTTGTGGCCGACGTGGGAGGCCTGCCCCTGCCCCCGCTCATGCAGCAGTGACTGGACAGCTCATTTACTAAAGCTGTGCAACACGGGTGCAGGGGGCATGGTCCTTCCGTCAGCCGGCAGCTTTACATGGGGTGTTGGCGGGCGGTGCGCTATGAGCACATGGGACAGATGCTGCAGGGCATGGGGAACAGGTGGGTGGGTGGAGGGTGCCAACAAGTGGTCGCCGGATCCTCAGTGGCCCTGGGAATGGCCGGGGGTGACACTGGCGTCCAGGGTCAGGGGCCAGGCAAGACCCAGTCCCCAGGACAGGGCCTGCAGCCCCACTTCAGCTCCATTGTCCAAAGGTCACTCTGCAGTCTCTGAGCAGTCCTTAGCCCCGGGCCTGGGGACACCCAGCAGTCTGGTTGTGTGGAGGCCTCGGGCACTGCCTCACCCCAACTGCTGGTTACCCCCAGGCCCCCTGCTTGGCAGCCATGGCCTAGAAGGAAGTGCGTAGCACCTGGGGTGCGCCCCGGAGCTTGGGGGCTACCCCTGCTCCTCCTAGGCTGTGTCCTGTGCGGCACGGGTGGGGCCTGAAGGGGGCACCCACTTGGGCTGCTGCCTGCAGCTGTCTGGCCCAAGGGGGTGGAGCACAGGACACAGCAGGTGGAGCCCCCTCCCAGGGATGGAGTGCTGGGGTAGCCCTGCTGGGCAGCCACCCACAGGTTCCCTTTCCCCAGCCAGATTCTGCAGGACAGAGGTCCTGGCTCTCTCTACAGTGCGAGCCTCCATGGAGGTGGGCAGGGCCATGGGGCCCCTTCTTCTGCTGTGTTCAGGCTCCTGGGGTGTGATGAGGCTCTGGCCCCCCGGCTGTGATGGCCCTGGAATCCCGTGGTCCTGGTGCTGTCCGAGTGGTCCCTGCAGAGGAAGCTGGGAGGGAGGCACAGAGCCAGGTACCCTCCCCTGACACCTGCCTTGCCCACTGTGCCTCGGCCTGGCAGTGGCGTCCCAGGGCAGCAGGGTTAGCCCGACCACAGCATCCCCTGAGGAGCCCCTTCCCTCTCACAGGCTTGCTGTCTTCCAGTCTCCCCCACAGGGTGGGTGGGGGTCCAGGGTAGCCTGGCGGCCCCCTCCCCTCCCTGCCACCTTTCCCTCAGGCCCCCCGGGGCACTGTCTGGGCTCCAGCCCACACCCCTGCTCCCCCAACTGAGGCTGGGAGTGGAAACCAACTGGCGGAGCCCTCTTTAAGGAATTAGCAGGAGCAGTAATTACAGGCTCCTGTCCTGCTCAGTGGTGACAGCCTCAGCCTGCCTCCTGAACCTGCTCCCTCCCCTCAGC